CCAGCGAGCCCCCCGTCCCCGTGCGGGGCCCGGACCCGACCCCGACCCCGGGGGTCACCAGGCCTGCCCTCGCGTGCCAGGGATATCTCGCCCGTCCTGAAGGACCCCGACTCCTTCCGCGCGTCCATCCGCCTCCTGACGAATCACCTGAAAGAGACCCACGGCGGCAAGATCGACTACATCGTGGGTAAGTGGAGGGGGCAGGGGCGGGTCCTCGAATCCCAGGTGGACCCTCCCCGGGCCTCCTGCCTGCCCCCGGCGCCGATGCTGTGCCCTGGGGTGTCTCGAGAGGCCCGGAGAGGTCGCCGGGTCTGTGCCAGGCTCCGCGAGGGTACCGTGGGCGTTCCTCCCCCCTGAGCCCTGAGCGGCGCGGACGGAGGGGCGACCCACGTTAGCTTAGGAGAGGCTTGGGGGGCGTCCGTCGGGGACACGCTGAACGTCGCACCGTGCTTGGCTGCCGACCCTCGAGTAGGCTGTAAGGATGAACCTGCTGAGCGGCACTTGGCCGCCTGAGGGTGGGCGCGTCTTTGCGGTGGCCGGCTGAGGGCAAGGTCACCCCATCGCCGTGCCCCTCGCTCTCGCCGACTTCCTGGTCCTCCGTTCTGGACTGGTGGGGCTACGGGCTGAGTATCCCCAGGGGTGTCTGACCAGAGTCCACTGGGCCAAGAACACTCTTGTTGCCCGTCTGTGTGTTGAGCTGTGGGCCAGGGCCTCTGCCCAGCACGGGGCTTCAGGGAGGACCCCAGCAGGCCGGGTCTCCGTGACCGCGCCATGCCCCGGCCCTCCCATGGCTCCCCGCTGCCCTGCGGGACCATGGCTTTTCACTTGACTTTGTCCTTCAGAGGGTTCCTTCCTCTGGAAGCCCTCCCTCGCGGCACCCCTAGGGGGTGGGGCCTGCGCTTCCCGGTGAGTGACCGCGGGAGATAGCAGGCGATAGCCCGGGGCCAGCCCCTCCAGGGCAGATGCTGCTGCAAGAGTGACAAGAGCCGTCTGAGTCCGCTCCTTAGTTATTAGCAGCCCAGTGACAGGCTGGCGGCAGGGCTGTGGGGAGAAAGCAGGTAACTTCCCTGAGGCCACACGGTTATTTCCGCTTCTGGGTCCCCGGCTCCTGCCCTGCAGCACCCAGCAGGCTCTGTGCACAGAGGTAGGTGCTCAGTCAAGGACTTTTAGCTGGAGCCAACAAAGCCAGGGGCTTCTTGCCATTGTCCGGCACTGGCCCCTGGGGACACTCGTGCTCCCGTGCCACACAGCCACCCCTGACACCCCACCTCTGACCAACAGGCCTAGACTCCCGAGGCTTTCTGTTCGGCCCCTCCCTGGCCCAGGAGCTTGGCTTGGGCTGCGTGCTCATCCGAAAGCGAGGGAAGCTGCCCGGCCCCACGGTGTCCGCCTCATACACGTTGGAATATGGGAAGGTGAGTGGGCTGGGCACCGCCACCCGTGACCCTTGGGCTTCCAGAGGATATCCCCTGGGTCGGGTGTAGCTGCCGCGGCTGATGCCAACTCTGCCCGAGACGCCAGCCTAGCTCACGCAGCCAAGCGGCAGCTGGGTGGGTTGGGCTCTCGTCGGCACCACCTCCCAGGCTCTGCACACCAGGGCCGCGTCTGGAGACGTGCAGACCGAGTGCCTGCTTCCCATCTGCAGGCCGAGCTGGAAATCCAGAGAGACGCCTTGGAGCCAGGGCAGAAGGTGGTCGTCGTGGACGATCTGCTGGCCACTGGGGGTGAGGGTCTCCCCCCCCCCCCCCCCCCCCCCCCCTCCCCCTGGCAAACAGGGCCTGGCGCTAGGACTGCTGGGGGTGCAGGAAAGTGGCTCAGCCCACGTGTGAGACGTGGGTTGGGGCCTCAGCACTGTACAGTTTACTCGTGAGCGGCAAGACCCTGTGTGGGCAGGTGGGAGCCTCCTCCCCACGCCACCTCCTCCCCCTCGCCGCCCCCGGGCTGGGTGGGGCCTCATTGTGTGCCCTCTGCCGACCCACTCAGGAACCATGCATGCGGCCTGTGAACTGCTGGGCCGCCTGCGGGCGGAGGTGCTGGAGTGCGTGAGCCTGGTGGAGCTGACCTCGCTGAAGGGCAGGGAGAAGCTGGGGGCCGTGCCGGTCTTCTCTCTTCTGCAGTACGACTGACCCACCCTCCCCCCTCTGGCGGAGAGGAGTTCCTGCCTCGTGGCTGGCCGATGGCCGCCAGGGGGCGCTGGCCACCCGTCTGGACTTTTTTTTAACTTTTTCGCAGTTGCCTTTTTCTACCGCCTGGGGCCCTTCCTGCAGGTTCTGGAGGTGCCGAGGCCTGGAGCCGGTAGCTCAGGCCAGAGCCCCGGCCACTGCAGGGCCACCTACAAACACTGAAAAGAGGTGAATAAAGTGCTTTGCTAGAGTGGCTGTTCTTTATCCGGGGCCAAGAGGTGCGGGAATCCCACTTGGCGGGTTGGGCGGGCATGTGGCATTCTGTGGCTCTCTGCTCCCAGCTGCCTCTCAGGAGGCAGGTGCTGCCCAAACGGCCTCTCAGTTGCTGTGGTCAGTCACACCAGCAGGGTGGCTCATGACACTGTCAGTGGAGTGGGGCTGGCTCCTGAAGGTTCCAGGAAAAATTGGGCTCCAGGCCCCCCCTGCATCCCTCAGTCCTGCAGTCCGCCTCCCTCTTGTACGGGTCCAGCAGTGACACCGAGCTTACTGGGTCACCAGGGATTCCCATGTGGACATATCGGGGGCATTGTGCCAACCGCCTCACCCAAGCTTGCACAGACTGCAGAGCCACCCCACTCCACTATGCCCCCAAAGACACCAACGATGACAGTCACCAACAGAAACCAGTTTAATGACAATATTCTGCAAGAGGGTGGGCCCACCACCCGCACTGGCCAGGGACCCTGGTGGGGAGTTAGGAGGGGAAGAAAAGTGCATTGTGTTCCTAAAGGGAATAAAAGAGACAGGCCAAGGACCTAAGCCCAGGCCCGCGAGGCTCACAGTGCCGCCTCGGCACGGGCAAGGTGGGCCAGCCGGGCAAGGACACCTGCCAGGTCAGCAGCCTTGTCCAGCTTGACATAGGTGTCGGTGCGGACGTGGTGGAGGCTGAGCCAGTCGGGCAGCAGCTCAGAGAGCAGCTGTACGTGCTTCTCCATCTCCCCTGCAGACAGACAGGATGTGAGCAGGGCCGTGCGCCTGGGAGGGGGTACTGACCCCTTATGGGGGGGGTCCAGACCAGTCAGCGGGCCTGCCTTAGGACCAGCCCCCCACCCCGCAGGCCTGTCCAAGCCTCCAAGCAGCAGACCCACTGGTGGGAAGGTGGAAGGGCTCGGGCCAGGGCAGTGACAGAATGGCCTTGCTGAGGAGCTGACCCTCCCACCGAGCCCAACACCGGGCCTGGAGGGGGGAAGGGGGAGGTCGCCCTGCGGCCAGGAGGGAACCCACAGTCCCGTGGGGCCCGGCGCTGTCTGAGGGGGTCTGGGGGCCGGGTGGGGGCTCGAGGACACCGTGCCCAGCCTCATCCTGAGCGGGGAATACAGGGAGGGCCCGGCCCCGCCCCACCCCTGCACACACCAGGGCTCAGGGCCGCACGGTAGCTGCCCGCCATCCTGGCGCAGGCCACCTCCATGGTGAGGGCGGGCTTGCGCTCCGACACGAAGACGCCACGCAGCACGCGGGCCAGCTCGGGCAGCCGCTCCAGCCGCTGCAGCCGCCGCTCCTGCTCCGGCTGCCGCGTCATCTGCGCCAGCTGCTTCTGCGCCTGCTTGCAGCGGATCTGCGGTAGGCCCCGAGAACGGTCAGCGGAGAGCCGGTCCCACGGGCCCCTGCCAGGACCCCGGACACTCACCCGCTCCAGCAGGTCCTGGGACACCCCCTTCAGGGCGGCAGGCGGGGTGGCCGGCGGGGTGGCCGGCAGGGCAGGGCTGGGGGACCCGGGGCTGCCGGACTTGGCCGTACGCAGAGCCAGGTCGCTCAGGGCCTTTTGCATCTGAGGCAGTTCAGAGGGGAGAATCAGAAGGCCCCCCCACCCGGCCCGGCCACAGGGAGGTCGCCGTCTGCCGGCCCAGGCTCACCCTGAGCGTCACGGCAGGTGGCCGGTGCCCAGGGCGCAGCCTGCCAAGCAGGCAGCGCTCCGTAAGGGGGGAGGGCACGTCCCACCACCCCGGAGGCGCATGGCCAAGGATGGAGCCTGTCGGGTGCCCGCCCCGCGAGCCCTAAGGCGGCCTCACCCTGGGTGACATCAGGCTGCGGGCACGGGCCAGCACCTCCTGGGCGGTGGCCAGCTTCTCCGTGGTGGGGGGCTGGGGCAGCTCAGCCGGCTCGATGTCAGGCACTTCGTCCACATTGAAGTGGGGGTGCCAACGTGTCAGCTGGTCCTCAGGCACCACCATGGGCGGGTTCAGGGAGGCGAGGAAGGCCTGTGTGAGGAGACGCGAGTGCCAGGTGAGCCCAGGCACATCTGCATTGGGCGGGGGGGGGGGGG